TCAATTCTGCTAGATGCATTTTAGAGATCAAACCGCATCCAATTGCAGCTGGCTTGATCCGGTTTGGTGACCAAAACGGAAACAAGTGAAAGCTCCTCTATCCGGTTTGATGATTTAAATGGATCTTGTTGATCCTGGCAAGATCAGTTTTCGGGATCATGTCGAATTAAAGTCATTTCTGCTAGATCCATTTTAGAGATCAAACCGCATTCAATTGCAGCTGGCTAGATCCGGACTGGTGATCAAAGCGGATCTAAGTGAGTCTGCCTATACTCGGGTTCGTGAATAACATGTATCCAAGCGAATCCCACTCGATCTGCCTCCCTGTCCGCTGTCATAACTGCCTCGGACAGTTTCCATGTGGTTGGCGCCTTTGTCCCGAAATGGGAAGATGGCAGTTGCAAGCAAATGGAGCACTTACCGAAGAGGTTGAGGATGAGCGCAAATCTGTAACCGCTCGACCCCGTTGCCCTGACTAAGGCAGCCGACCCGTTTGGCAGTCTGGCTGGTCGGCTGTTCGGCTGTTCGGCTGTTCGGCTGGCTGACGGGTTGACGAGCTGACGTGCCGACGGGCGTGTTGGCGAGTAGGAAGGCCGAAGTGTCAGGAGACTCCTTGAGCTAAAATGCGCCTGGTCTTTTGTGCACTAATCGATTGGTCTCTCGCCCTCTCTCTCTCTCTCTCTCTCTCGTCCGTTTGCCTTTGCTTTGTCTCCCTTTCTCTCTATCTCCCTACGTCTTATTAGCCTGTTCGTCACTGATGCTTTCGTGTGTATGTGTGTCGTTGCGATTATGTGCCGATCTAGCCCGTCGCCAATAGGCCTAAACCAACGGGAGAGAGAGAGAGAGAGAGTGTGTGATAGGTGTGGGTAGAGCAGGCAGGCGAATGCACGAGTTTGGAGTTGAGAGCGAGGCCAGCGCGAGGCAAGAGAGGCCTTACAACGATTATGCTGATCAGGCATCTGGGCTGACCCCGTGTGGAGGCCTGGAGAGCTGGCCTCCGATTGGTCCATTCCGCCTGGCAGCCAGACGAATCAGGCAGCGCGTCAGTGTGCTGGCCCGTGTGCGTCAGTGTGCTGGCCCGCGTGCGCCAGTGCACGCGGGCACGGCCTGCACGTCAGCGTGCGCGAGCAGGCAGCAGTGCGCGAGTGCGCGCGTGCACAGTCTGCTCGAACGGCCTCTCGGCGGTCAATTGGTGCAGCCAACAATGGATGGAGCATAAAAATGGCCCGATTGCACTCAGCCCAACGCGTGCTGCATACACGCCTGCCTTGTCTGACCGGGCCGGGCGAGCTGATTGGTCCAAGGCCGACAGACTTGAGAGCCCAAACTCGGAGGCGTCGAACACGTGCTTCGACTGGCGTCGCATCGCATCGCATCGCATCGCAGCGCAGCGCAGGGCAGCGCATCGCCTCTCCTCGTCTCACCTCAACTCGCCTCACTTGCCTTTGTCTGACGAAGACCTGCCACAAACCCAACAAAAGCAGAACATCAACCAAGACCACAATCAACACAAACCTAAGCAAAGCTCGACACTAGCCCAGCACAAACTGAACATAGCCTCGACACAATCCTAAAACAATCCCATGCCACAATCGACACAAACTCAGTGCAAAGCTGACGCAATCCCAACACTAACACTAACTCAACCCAAATTCGAAACAAAAACAAAGTTCATGGCCGACGTTAACCCAACCCAAGCTTGACACAATCCTAAAAGAATCCCAAATCAAACTCGATAAAAAACTCATTGTAAATCCGATACAAAGCCAACACAATCCCAACCCAAATTCGATAAAAACGCAATAAAATCCGACGCAAGCACAACCAAAGTTGGACACAATCCCAACCCAAACTCGACACAAACACAGTTCTAATCGGACGCAAACCAAACCAAAGCTAGACACAATCACAACAAAAACCAAACACAAATTAAACACTATTACAACACAAACTGGACCTAAGCTCGACAAAATCCTGGACCAAACTCGACACAAATTCCGAACAAATTCGACGCTAACCCAAACCAAACTAGACAAAAACTTAGCCCAAACTCGACACAAACCGAGTTCAAATCAAACACAAACCCAGACCAGACTCGACATAATCACAACACAACTCGACACAAACTGAACTTAATCTCGACACAATCTCAGCCCAAACTCGACATAATCCAACACAACCTCAACCTGAGCCCCACACAATCCCAACGCAAACTCGACACAGATCCAGTACAAATCCAACCCAAGCTCGACACAATCCCCACCCAAACTCGATACAAACCCAACACTAACACAACCTTAATTAGACACACACCCAAACAAAACTCGACACAATCTCAGCCCCAAATCGACCCAAACTTAGTACAAATCTAACCCAACGTCGACACAATCCCAACCCATACTCGATACAAACCCAACACTAACACAACCTTAATTAGACACACACCCAACGCAAACTCGACACAATCCCAGCCCCAAATTGACCCAAGCTCAGTACAAATCCAATCCAAGCTCGACAAATCCCAACCCAAACTCGATACAAACCCAACACTAACACAACCCTAATTAGACACACACCCAACCAAAACTCGACACAATCCCAGCCAACAATCGATCCAAACTCAGTACAAATACAACCCAATCTCGACGCAATGACAAAACAATCCCAAACGAAACATGACGCATTCTCAGTAGAAATCCTACGCAAACCCAACCCAAGCTCAACACAATCCCAACAAAAACTGAACCTAAGCTCGACACAATCCCAGCCTATACTCGAGACATACCCAGTACAAATCAGACACAAACCCAGACCAAGCTCGACACAATCCCAACTTAAACTCTACGCAATCCAAAGCAATCCCAACC